ATCCCGAGAGGAGAATGGAGGAGAAGGGATTGCAGCATGGCCATCCCCCCTGGGGGGTGATTTCTCACTTTCTGTCTCTCTGTCTCTCTGGTGAGTGCACGTGCCCTATAGCAAAAACCTCTCCTCCCCCAAAAATAATTAATCAATATAACTTATAACAGTAAAAATTATATGAAGTTCTGATGTATTTTGCTTTCATAAACAGGTCCAAATAAGTGGAAGCTCCATTGTATTCAGCAATACTGTCAGATGTATGAAGCTACCTCATATAATATATAAAAGTAGGTACTGTATTTATTAATAATAAGAGCGAACTTCAAAAGTTTCTAGCAAAACGGAATGAAAGCATGATTTTAATCTGGATAAAAAAATTTTCTAATCCATGCATAATATGCATTTTCCATGAATTTTTTGAATACACCTTATATTTCAACATTAAGGACCAAAACTGCTTCTGACTAGAGGAACCATGTCTTGGTACAAAACCGATTAAGTCAGGATGTAGAAACATCTTCCAAAGATGCTCATAATGTCAAGGAATCAATCATGAGTTAATCCTGGTAGTAACTCTGTGGGGCAATAACATTATCATTTTCCCTTTCACTAAACTCCTTTTAGTAAACGTATTTACTAGAATTCTATTTTAAGAGAACAGAATTTTCTTTCTTTGTATATGAATTTGTCTTAAGAACTAGGAAATGACAATATCGTGTTCTGATTACCAAAAATCAGCATATCAGAAGGCCGGCAAGTAGTATGGTGGCTAGGGGTGCTGGACTCCCACATGGACGACAATGGTTTGAGTCCCAGACTTGGCCGCTTGCTTTATCACTTTCTCTCTCTCTCTGGTCAAATTGAAAAATAATGATGATAAATAAATAAATAATTCTAAGGGGGAAAAAATTCTCTATAATAAGGTGGAGAAATTTAAAACCACCAAGTCAGAAATCACATTTAAAAATAAAGCTTTCAGGGCCAGTAGGCGGCGTGGTGGTTAAGGCAGTGGATGCCCACACGACTGACAACAGTTTGAGTTCAAGACCTGGCAGCTTTCTTCACTTTCTCTTTCTCTCAGTCTGTTCTGGTGAGTGCATGTGCCCTATAGCAAATTAAAATAATAATAATAATGATAACAAATAAAATAAATAATTATTATTAAAATTTCAATTTATTTACCTAATCATTCATTTCTATTTGATCAGAGAGGGGTGGAGGGAGAGAAAGAGAACATGAGAAAGCAATCCGTCAGATCTGGGACCCGAACGGGTGGTCAGCCATGTGGGTGTCTAGCACACTTAACTGCCATGCTACCTGCCAGCCCCCAAACAAATAATTCTTTAAAAAAGCAACTAAAGCTTTCTATTACTATGTAACATTTTGGGGGTTGGGGAAGATAAACATTTGCCCAGTAAAGGTCTCATGACAGCAATAGCAGTCTGGCCCCTGAATTCCCAATCGTGCCAATATTAGTACTAGGGTATGAGGACTATCCTAAAGCAAATATCCAATGTTATCTTTAAACTTATATGTCTTCATAACATTTTTTTCTAATAGTAGATATTTTTCAAAATATGTTGTTCCTGCTCAGCAAAATGATAGTCCCCTTCTTCCCATCACCATTTCATTCAATAACTGCTCACTCAGATTCTTTGTGAAACAGGAGATGATACAGTGATTAAGAACATAAATATAAAACAGAACTTTGAAAAGTTGGTGGGAAAATGGAATTAAATATGAATTTATTCTGGCACCAAAAATAAAAAGAAATTGACATCCATGAATATTTTTTTCATAATGCACACTTTCCATGAACTTTTTGAAGAATCCTCCTGTGTTTCTGCCAAGCTCATCTTTAAAATAATGTAACAGTTCGTAGTGTAGCTAGTGAAGATACACTGATGAATGCCACTTCCATGAAGAGCTCAAACAAGAAAAGTAACCAAATGGAGAGAAAGCTTTTGATTAACTCTTTCCAAGTAAACTATGTATCATAAATGCCAACAGAGATGATACTACTTTTCCAGTATAGCAGTATAGTATCTTGCCAACCTGGTTACTGTAGCTGACACAACTATTGGCACGTTACTGTAGCACGGCTTGAGGAAAACTCACCAAAAGTTGTCCACAGTCCTAAATGTTACGTTACATAGCTGGACCACAGTAAAATACTTTGTTCAGCAAATGCTAACGTTTTCCTGTTGAGAGGGTAGTGACCATAATAACTTTGTGACAGAAGATGAACAAAAACCAGAAATATGAAAAATCTACCTGAAGATGTTAATATGCAAAATATTCTAATTAAGTAAATTGTGTATTTTCCTGTTAAACATAACCTGGAAAATTTTAAGTTTTTTAACAGAAAAAAATTGCAATGATATAAATACCTGCTCATTCCCTTTTGCTTATTTTTTTCCACTCGCTTTTATGGAATGGTAAATATATGGAATGGTAAATAAATTCACCCAGCCTTGGATTTTGCTGGTTCAGGGGGAAAAAAAAGTCTGCAATTTAAAATTATATTTGGTTAACAATGCAGTACATTCTAAAACGATCTCCTCCTTAATGAGTTTAAAATAATTTTTATTTTCAACAGGCAGAAATATCAACTTACCAGCTTTGTGCCTCTTTTAATTTCCTTTGGGACATCTTCAATAGAAAATCCACCAAGACTTTCATTATCAGAGTGTGATGATACCAAAGCAGATGAAAATAGCTTCAGAGTGTGATGATACCAAAGCAGATGAAAAGAGCAATAAATTACATTTAGAAAAAATTAAGGTTCATATATAGAATAATTACAGTAAAACAGTGAATGCAATGTTAAATGTAAGAGGAAATGTTCTAGCAAAAAGGCATAGCATTAGTGATAAATCCTTTCTTAAAAATTAATTTTTTTCTTTCCTTTTTAGTTATTGAATTCGTGTGTTATTTAGATCCTCGTGAATGGTTTCGAGGTCTCTGTAGGTGCTAGTCTACTTACCATGCACTTATGGTGTGCTGCCACCTTCTGGTTTTCAGATATTAGTAACTGTCCACATTCCTTGTCTCTATTTGACTTACAGAAGCCACATTTGCGCTGTCTTGTAGGCCCTTTTTTCTGTTCAACAGAGCTTGACATGATTTTAAAATTGCCTTTAGAATGCCACTTTAAACCTCAAGAAATGCTACAGAGAATAAAAAAGGCAACAAAACAGTTAATTTCATTTTTAAATTACTTTATACATATTCATGTAAGTTGTTTAACTTTTGACATAGGTTTTAATATATGTACTTTAAAATGGCTAGTTGGTATATACAAGCTAATATTAAAAACTTAAGATGGTCCCACGATTTTTCAATCTCATATATATGTATATTGAGTTTAGAGAATTTGAGAAAAATCAGTTCCCAAATTTGGGGATAGGTAAAGCAATTTGAAATATTTCTGTGTAGATAAAAAAAAAATGTACAATGGACACTATTAAATCATCATCTGCTGGCATATAATAGTGTAAATTATTTTTCCTATATTACTGAGTGCCCCTTCAAGGAAACAAGGAATTATATATCTAAGAACAGAGCAAAAACTAAGAACATACACACACACACACACACACACACACACACACACACAAAAATCTCAAGGGAACAAAATTCTATAACTGCACAATTTCTTCCAGTTCACAAATTGATAAAACAATAAAAGTAAAATGAATTGACTTAACCATGACTTTGGAATACTTATTTTTAAAACTTGCATTATTTCCAAGTTTAAAAAAATCATGCTATTACTATGTAACATTTTGGGGGTTGGGGAAGATAAACATTTGCCCAGTAAAGGTCTCATGACAGCAATAGCAGTCTGGCCCCTGAATTCCCAATCGTGCCAATATTAGTACTAGGGTATGAGGACTATCCTAAAGCAAATATCCAATGTTATCTTTAAACTTATATGTCTTCATAACATTTTTTTCTAATAGTAGATATTTTTCAAAATATGTTGTTCCTGCTCAGCAAAATGATAGTCCCCTTCTTCCCATCACCATTTCATTCAATAACTGCTCACTCAGATTCTTTGTGAAACAGGAGATTATTCAGTGATTAAGAACATAAATATAAAACAGAACTTTGAAAAGTTGGTGGGAAAATGGAATTAAATATGAGTTTATTCTGGCACCAAAAATAAAAAGAAATTGACATCCATGAATATTTTTTTCATAATGCACACTTTCCATGAACTTTTTGAAGAATCCTCCTGTGTTTCTGCCAAGCTCATCTTTAAAATAATGTAACAGTTCGTAGTGTAGCTAGTGAAGATACACTGATGAATGCCACTTCCATGAAGAGCTCAAACAAGAAAAGTAACCAAATGGAGAGAAAGCTTTTGATTAACTCTTTCCAAGTAAACTATGTATCATAAATGCCAACAGAGATGATACTACTTTTCCAGTATAGCAGTATAGTATCTTGCCAACCTGGTTACTGTAGCTGACACAACTATTGGCACGTTACTGTAGCACGGCTTGAGGAAAACTCACCAAAAGTTGTCCACAGTCCTAAATGTTACGTTACATAGCTGGACCACAGTAAAATACTTTGTTCAGCAAATGCTAACGTTTTCCTGTTGAGAGGGTAGTGACCATAATAACTTTGTGACAGAAGATGAACAAAAACCAGAAATATGAAAAATCTACCTGAAGATGTTAATATGCAAAATATTCTAATTAAGTAAATTGTGTATTTTCCTGTTAAACATAACCTGGAAAATTTTAAGTTTTTTAACAGAAAAAAATTGCAATGATATAAATACCTGCTCATTCCCTTTTACTTATTTTTTTCCACTCGTTTTTATGGAATGGTAAATAAATTCACCCAGCCTTGGATTTTGCTGGTTCAGGGGGAAAAAAAAGTCTGCAATTTAAAATTATATTTGGTTAACAATGCAGTACATTCTAAAACGATCTCCTCCTTAATGAGTTTAAAATAATTTTTATTTTCAACAGGCAGAAATATCAACTTACCAGCTTTGTGCCTCTTTTAATTTCCTTTTGGACATCTTCAATAGAAAATCCACCAAGACTTTCATTATCAGAGTGTGATGATACCAAAGCAGATGAAAAGAGCTATAAATTACATTTAGAAAAAATTAAGGTTCATATATAGAATAATTACAGTAAAACAGTGAATGCAATGTTAAATGTAAGAGGAAATGTTCTAGCAAAAAGGCATAGCATTAGTGATAAATCCTTTCTTAAAAATTAATTTTTTTCTTTCCTTTTTAGTTATTGAATTCGTGTGTTATTTAGATCCTCGTGAATGGTTTCGAGGTCTCTGTAGGTGCTAGTCTACTTACCATGCACTTATGGTGTGCTGCCACCTTCTGGTTTTCAGATATTAGTAACTGTCCACATTCCTTGTCTCTATTTGACTTACAGAAGCCACATTTGCGCTGTCTTGTAGGCCCTTTTTTCTGTTCAACAGAGCTTGACATGATTTTAAAATTGCCTTTAGAATGCCACTTTAAACCTCAAGAAATGCTACAGAGAATAAAAAAGGTAACAAAACAGTTAATTTCATTTTTAAATTATTTTATACATATTCATGTAAGTTGTTTAACTTTTGACATAGGTTTTAATATATGTACTTTAAAATGGCTAGTTGGTATATACAAGCTAATATTAAAAACTTAAGATGGTTCAACGATTTTTCAATCTCATATATATGTATATTGAGTTTAGAGAATTTGAGAAAAATCAGTTCCCAAATTTGGGGATAGGTAAAGCAATTTGAAATATTTCTGTGTAGATAAAAAAAAAATGTACAATGGACACTATTAAATCATCATCTGCTGGCATATAATAGTGTAAATTATTTTTCCTATATTACTGAGTGCCCCTTCAAGGAAACAAGGAATTATATATCTAAGAACAGAGCAAAAACTAAGAACATACAAACACACACACACACACACACACACACACACACAAAAATCTCAAGGGAACAAAATTCTATAACTGCACAATTTCTTCCAGTTCACAAATTGATAAAACAATAAAAGTAAAATGAATTGACTTAACCATGACTTTGGAATACTTATTTTTAAAACTTGCATTATTTCCAAGTTTAAAAAAATCATGTATATGTCTTTAGCAAATTAATTTTTGCTATTTTATTCCTTTTTTTGAGTAAAGAAAAATATTTAGCTTCTACCAGTCTATTCAAAAATGCAGAATTTAGGACTTGATTATTTATAAAACAACTCTATTACCTGACTCTGTGATTTCCCTTACGTCTGTTTATTAACTGAAGTCACAAGCTGGCAGGAGTCTTCAAAATGCAGTAATGTCCACATTTAAGTTAGTAATATTGTGGAAGGGAAGGCAATTTTTTTTCTTAATAAACCGTATATTTGGTGAAATTATAATTATAGATAGTACAGTCAAACTAAAAAAGGGAAGAGAAGCTTTAACTTGGAAGGTTTCAGATTTAGATCAGCAATCTCAAGATGAAGTCTTCAGAAGAATACTAAAAAATGTAAATTGGTTATTTGATTTGTGTAGTTTTCCCAAATCAACAAGACCAAGCAGTTCGAGACCCAGGCTGTCACAACATAGATCACCATCAATAAAATCTCAAAATGCCATCTTAAAATTAATTTACTAAGTGCTTTCCATTTTTCTATATATTTGAGCAGTATGAAAATAATACCATGCTGAAAAAATTCACTAGCACTAAAGCATTTGTTCACCAACATGAAGAACAGCAGCCAGATGCCAGCAAGGTAATATCTACAAAACGTTCAGCGCCTTTTGATATAAAAATTCAGATTCTTAATCAAAAATGGAAACACGAAGCCACAAATATGTCTTCTCATCAATTTACACGTAGGGTTTTCTTTTAACAAAAGTTCAAAGGCCCTGATGGTCTCTATTTTGATAGGTTTAATAGACTCTTAGTGCTATCTCTATTTTTAAATACCTCCGTTTTCCAAATGGCATTAGATAGATACATTACAATAGTACCAGCGTCAAAGCACTGGCTATAAGCTGTGAAACTGATTGAAAACAGGCAGAAAAATACTGTTAGGATTAAAGGAGGAAAAACAGGACAGTAATAGAGAAACAAAAGAAACAAAAGGGGAAGTATGCTTGCATTTGCTCAGGCAAGTATGTGTTCAGTTACTTTATCAAGAATTAAACTATGCAAAATAACAAAATTCATAAATAGCACCAGAATGTGCTACTTGAGTTCTCATGTAGTTTTCTTTACTACTACGCAATGAATGGTAGGAGGTCTGAAATCACTGTAATGTATTCGGCATTTTTCCTGGTCATCTTGGCCAGTTGAAAGGATGACACGTTATACATTTAATCTGTACAGACGCCTTTAATATGTCATTTCTACATAATCTTTGCAGTGGCCATAAAACTGGCTTACGATAAAATTCCTAGAGTGGGAAAATCACTTTCTATTCTTAAAATTAATTCTGAAATGGTATCTCCTCCTTAAAACTCAGCCGAAAATAGAACTCCCCCCCCCCCCCCCATGCTATCCCTATTGAATTGTGTCTCTTTCCATTTCCAAATGGGTAAATTTCTCATCCTGATTTTGACAACCTGCCTTTCTGGACATCGAAGACCTCAAAATATAAATGAGAAAAAAAAAAAAAGTACACTTTATTTTGCATTCAAAAATACTCCCGTGTTATTCTTTTTCTGTAATCAGATTAAATCTAATTTGCAAAGTGAACAGAGTCACACAGAAAAGTGCACCAAACCAATTAAAAACTTTCCCCAATATGCAATGACTAAATGGATTTTTCCACTAAAATTCAAATAATGCATCTGTGCATATCTTGCTAATTTTTTTACAGCCTCCTTGTAAAACATGAAGTGGAGAACATCATGGAAACAATGACGCCTAGCAAAAAATGTCTTTATCATAAAAATGCAGATTTTTATCTAATGCTGTCACATTTGTGGTCTCCAGTTAAGGAGAGTAAGGGCATTCCAAGGACCAAGACTAACGGGTTTATAATGATCCACAGCTATATGACATTTTAATTGTTGTCTGAAAGGTTTTTCAGGGCATGCAGAGATCAAAGTTTGTTGCTTTCACCCATCAATGAAACCTTTTCCTTAAGAAAAAAAAAAATAACATGATGGATCATGCCACAATGCTACAAACCAGAAATAAAGAGGCAACAATAAGGGCGTGAAAAATATAATTTAAGCGTCTGACGAAAACATAAAGGCCAGATTGCTTAGGGCTGAAGAAATCAATGCGTTTCTGATTTTTTTCAAGATGCTGTGAAGCACCAAGGTAGAAATAACCTGAACCATCAAGGAGAGCATTCAAGAACCAACTGGAGAGCTCATTCAATGCTTGGTCCCTGAAAGAGTATTTTCACAGAAAAACAAACACAACAAAACAAAAACTGCAGTTCCGGAAGATTAAAACATTCCACACGCAAGCATGCTGAAGTATACAGATCAAAACGTATAAACGCGATCCCCGAAAGAAACAATATTTCGGTTAGGAAAGTTACAGTGGAGAAAAATAACCGATCGAGAGATGTACCGGAAGGGCACCTGAATTTGGTTGCACGATATTATTACATGCTTCGCACTGCTTTTTGCGGTTATTCAAAAGGAAACTAAAGGAATTTTCCAGTTGTTTCGAACCCAAGGGCAGAGAAAAAATTTGAACTGTATGAATAAGACCTGATATTACGCAGTAAGCCGATGAAAAGAATACGTTTTTCAAATAAACAAAAGATTGATCAACTTCCACGCAGAATATGGAAACGAACAGAAATTGTAGGGCCATATCGTGCTATTTCGTCCATGGAATAGGGGCCAGTACACATAACGTGCCGGATCGCCTCCGTTATTTATTCCCCAATACACACCAGCCTCCGAGATCTCCTCTAATCAAGCGCTTAGATAAACTCGCACAACTATCTTCCTCTAGAACAGTTCATTAACGTTCAGCCGGCCTCCTTTCGGTCTTAAAGTCAGGGTCCCCGCATCGTCTTTTCCCAATCCTCTCGATCCCAGGAAAATATCCACCCTGCCACTTTCTTTACGCCCCTTCCCCCAGGAGTTCGCCCTCTAATAGCCTTCGTGGTGAGCTTCGCCTTATTCTTCAGTTTCACCCCTAATTCCTCCCACCCTGGAGTTTTTTCTCATTCTGGAAGGCTAAGCGCTTGCCATCCTAACAATTCTTCCTCTGGCTCTTCCCAAACTGCGAGTCTCCTTCCTTCCCAAATACGTCCTAAGCTATGGCAAAGACCGAAAATTCCCAGTTTTTTCCCTCCTTAAATGTTGCGCCCCCTCCCCCGAAGTCTAGGCTTCAGCCTAACCTCTCCCTCTGCACCTCCAAAGCACTTTCTCCGCAGCCTCTTCGCCAAGTGCCTACAATGAGCGGCGCTTCTGGGGTCCCTGACAATAAAGCGAGACCACCAAGAGTCCCCCTTAACAACGGGCAGGGGCGGCGGCCCGCCCCCCCCC